GAAGAATGTAAATGACAAATTTCTTGGGGTGTGGCTCTTTTATTTTTTATATGAGGAAGCTATCGTTTTTCCTAGCACATTAAGTCATCATCCTTTTGTGACTTTGAATAATTTCTCATGTAGGATTTTTTTCTAGATTGTGTTTAGCCAATAGCAGTCAGTGGACGTTTGTAGTCAAGAGCAACCCATGACTTGCTTCTTTATTCATCCCACCGTGTTTTTCTTTTTTCCCATTCAAATTTCCTTTATTATTTCTTATAGCATAACTGTGTACACGAATGCAATCATGGGGTACGGTGTGCTGTTTTCATATACAATTTGAAATACTCTCATCATGTTTTAATTGCATTATCTTTGGTAGGCCCTGGTGAGGTCAGATGCAGATCGAGAGAGAAAAACTGGAAAAAGCTTTAAAGTTTTGTCACTCACAGTTCCCTGGGGAGAAAATACCCAGCACGGGCCACTCAGGAAGTGCAGGAGCAGGACAGGAGTCAGAGGGAAGGGGGCTGTGAGTGAACGCCTGCACTGTGCTTTCCAAGGGCAGAAGGGGGAGGGGCAGGCCAGGGTCTTAGCCCTGGCTCTGGGGCACTGGGTGTCGTAGGGCAGTTGGGACATCTTTGTGAGCGTGGTGTGAGAGCCCAGTGTGGGGGATGGCTGGGATGTGGGTTTAAAGTGCTGCTGGAGAAGGGGAACTTAACTGGCCTGTAGCCAGGGCCTCAAGACCTGGTCAAGTCAGTGTTTGAAAACTACTGCAAACTAAGACAGGCTGCTTGTCCGAGCGTCTGGAGAAGTCTGCCCTTCACGCCGGTACCCCAGGTGCTCTGTGGATACTTTCCCACATCTGCTTTCAGAACTCTTAATACATCTTTATTTTTTAACTCAGTGCTTTGTCAACTTTTTTTTTTAAGTCCCAGGCATCCTTGGCTTTCAGCAGAGGATGTATCTGCTGAGAGGTAAAGATAGGTTTGAGTTATGGTGTGGTGAAGTGCTCTCTAAAAAAAAAAAACTGTGAGCAGGCTGCTGGGAAGAGGTCTTAACAGCACAACACACAGGAATAATATTTATCTGACTTATTATTCTTGGATGGTTACAGCTAATGATCTAAAGTTTTTCAGGATAGCCA